ATATATATATATATATATATATATATATATATATATATGACTTCATCTAAACAATTGTATAAGTCAATTATTATCTCATTTATAGATGATAAAACAATACCAAAGTAACATTCATAATTTACACAAATCACAAAAAAGTGGAATGGAAACTAATTCTGAGTTTCTTCAAAACTAAGCTTTTTCTAAAATATCATGCTGTGAATTTTATTCCCATGTTTTAATGCAAATTCCTAGTTGCCTGATCATTTTACAATTTACTAGATTTCGTCTTATGCTAAAGTCATTGGAATTTGTACTAACTAGCAGTGCAATTTATGCACTCAGGATTATTTGATGAAGTTTACATTTGAGCCATTTTCCATTTAGTTTAGCCCATAGTTAGAGACAAACTATTTTTCAGGGTGTCATTTTGTTGAAATGCTGTATGGAAATTGTTCTGCTGTGACTCCTTCAGCTGTCTAGTCAGAATGTGACTAATCAGAATAAATAATTCTTACACTACCTTGTGTTTAGTACTTTCGTGCCTCAGTGGCCGCTCTACCAATTCTGGACATGAACAGGAAGACTATCAGATATAAAATAGAAACATATCCTTGTTGTGTTTGAAATAATTCTAAAAGGAATCAAAACAATGTCAAAATCAGGGTACAGAATAATCATTTGGACCATTTTGGTTTCACATCCCCTTTGTGTTAAACCCCAGAAACACTGTGCATAGACTTGTCTGCATCCAGAATGAAGGTGGCTATCTCAGTGTTGGACATATAAAAAAGAGATATAAAATTATTTGCCGTTGTTTCGTTTATGTGAAATAAAAATGATGAAGTATTTCTTCTTTCTTTTAAAAAGCTACTCTTTTTTTCTCTTTATAAAATTAATTACATGTTCACTCTAGAAAATTTAGGCAATTCTAATAAACAAAAGGAGCTCTGGTAGTGTAGTGCCTAAGGCATTTGACTGCTAACCAGAAGGCTGGCGATTCAAACCCATCAGCCATTCCTCAGAAGGAAGATGGGGTAATCTACTTCCGTAGTGATACTGCCTCGGCAACCCAAGGAGGGGTCGCTATGAGTCAGGTCTGACTGGATGGCACATAACAGCAACAACAACAATAATTAAAAAGAAGAGCATAAAAGCAGCCCATAACTTCATTATCTAATTTTTTAGTGGCTGTATTCTAACCTATTTTCTTTTGGTATTTCAATTACTATTATTATTATTACCCAAGTGCTATATGATCAAGTCTACTTTCCAAGCTTCTATAATATATTGTTTTGAGGATTTTGGGTCCTGTTTATATTTTGTTCCTTTTTTATACATCCTCTGTAATATATATGTGTCAGAAAGCAGAGGAGAAGATCACTTGAGCTATTCATATTTCATTATGAATTGGCATCTCAATTTATTATACAAAGGACAGCACATTCTATGTCTGCTCTACAAGTCTTCATAACATATTAAAATGGAAGCATTAGAAAACAGCCTTTACTTCATCTTAATTAAAAATGGAAAACAGACAGCACCTTGTTATCAAGATTGCCAGCTTACTAACTCTTCATTGTTGCCATTTTCAAATACGATTCTACATTTTTCTTCCTGTCATTTCACAGGTTGCTGAATTCACAGCCTGGTGTTTCTTCTTTCAGGACACTTTTCTCCTTCAGCTTTGCTCAAAGCCAAAGGTTGACCTCATGTGTGAAGTTGATCTAAAGCAGAAAGGTGATGACACCTTTCTAAAAACAAAAAAAAGGAAATGCACTTGAGTTGAGGTGGAGATGTTAGATTGAATAATGCCAAGAATTAGTATTCAGATTGGTTGTGGGTCTGTTAACCAATTAGGATGGAATGGTAGTTCCCAACCCTGGAATACCTGGGGAGCTTTAAAAGTACTGATGCCTGGGTCCTTTCTGCAGGGATTCTGATATAATTGATCTGGGATGTAAATGGGCCTTGGGTGTTTTTTTTTTTTTGGTTGTTGTTATTTTTTAAAATTTCCCAGGTGATTCCAATGCAGTCAGGTTTGAGAAACATTATTTTAGAAGATAGAGGAGCCATAGTGGCTCAGTGGTTAAAGCACTCAAGAAAGGTAGGCAGTTCAAACCCACTTCTGGTAGCATAGTGCTTAAGGCACTTGACTGCTAACCAGAAGGCTGGAAGTTCAAATCCACCAGCCACTCCTTGGAGGGAAGGTTGGGCAATCTACTTCCGCACTGATACTGCCTCGGAATCCCAAGAAGGGGTCGCTATGAGTCGGGTCCAACTCGATGGCAAATAACAACAATAACAACAGCTGCTCTGTGGGAGGGAGATTTGGCCATCTGCTTCCATAAAGATTTACAGCCTTGGAAACCCTGTGGGGGCAGTTCTACTTTGTCCTATAGAGTCACTGTAAGTGACAATCAACTCAAAGGCAGTGGATTTGGCTGATACATATTCCCTTGTGTATAATGAACAAAGGATACTTCCAGCCTGAAGAGAGATGACAATCTATGTACCTTGAGGCTCCTTCAGTATAGGGCCACCATGTGGACTTGCATGAAGATGCCCTGAAAGAGGAATGAATAGAGTCTGAAATACAAGCCGCTCATGGTTCACTCATCAAGCTGCACCCTAGCTTAGGATTTTATCTCCTGGGTGGAGGGAGCTCTTTTTTCTAATTTGCACAAAGGCCCAGTACAGGCCAGCCTGGCACTGCATGTCATGGCTGGAAATACATTACCTCTCCTTTAAAGTATTTTCTGACTTTAACATTCTAGCCATTTCAAACCACTAGGTTCTTCAAAAATTAATCTTTTCCATTTTCTTTTGAAATGAACACATCTATATGTGGCAGAGACAACATAGGAAAAATCTGCAAATTCCAATCCATTGATGTTCCTGTAATAAATTAGTATTTAGCCATCTGGAATTAGGTTAATTTGGAGATGATGAAAGAGCAATAAAAGTGAGAAACTTCAAGAGAGACAAACTTTATAATGGTCTTATTGTGAATACTCAAGGTTTAGGAGGCACTGTGGTGGTGCAGTACTTAGAGTGCCCAGCCACTAACTGAAAGTTCAGCAGTTCAAATTCAGCAGACTCTCTGTGGGAAAGAGATGTAGCAGTCTGCTTCCATAAAGATTTACAGCCTTGGAAATCCTATGCGGTAGTTCTACTCTGTCCAGTAGGGTCACTATCGGTCAGAATCAACTCATTGGCAGTGGGTTGTCTTTTTTCTTTTTTTTTTTTTGTTTGTTTTTTGACTGGTTTAGAATACCACAATAATGAGACAGGTTTATAATTTCAAACCCATAGTTAGCATAACAGGGGACAACTCTATTCCATTGTCACAGTGAAACCCCATTTCCAGCCAGTTTATTCTTTAGTAAAAGTTGGAATGAAGTCAGTATATTTCATACCCATCACCATTACTGGAAAATCCAAGTGTATGCCCAGATGAGAGTACATTAAGTGAATGTTAGCTTCATCATAACTAGAGAGCTCATCATTACTAACTAGCACAAAATACATCCAGATGTATTTGCATTATGTGATGGGGACCCCAGTCAATATGATATAAAGCCTACAATCATGTGGAGTTTTTGAGAGCTTCAGTAAGATGCTCAAGTTTTACTGAGAAACCAAATGAACAACTCAGGCCCTACCATCCTGGCTCATCTGATTGGCAGTCTGACTGTTGAAAGGCGGAGACTTTATCTTCAGTGTGAATATCTTAGGTTGAAATAGCCCAGCACCATGTGAGTTCCCATCCACATGTTTCTGAGCAAAATGAATTCCTTGATGGGGAGAAAACATGAAATCACTAATGAAGGTTATTTTTGTTAATTACACATGAAGTTATAACTAGAATCAGTCGTGTCACTAGAGGGGTATTAGGAGCCCACTGAGTGATACTGTCAGAGAGGATGACACAAAAATTACTGTCCACAAAATGTTTGTGCAGTGTTTTGGCAGAAATTTATTACTTTTAATAAAAATATCCCTGTAGTTATAACAACAAAAAACATTTTTCAGAATCTAGCTTATATTATTAACATACCTACAAAGCTAAAATTCTGTGTTAATTAATTTACTTTTTGAATCTTCTAATGCACTCCAGTCAGAGCTGTCATTATTACCTAATTACAGTGACACTTTGAATCACTTGGTTTTGTCTAGACACACTACAAGCGTGCACTGTTTTTTTCATTGCTGCCAGGGTTTCTGTGGCTGATTCCATCCAATTTTCTAGAGTTTTAGCTACAATATTGTGGTAATTAGTATTTGTGAACCTGTATCTATAACATTTTTGAAAATGAAGTAGTAATTAAAGGAAGGAAAAGAAAGAGAAAAATCAAAAGAGGCTTCCACTCAGTTACTAATATTGTAACTAATAATGTAGTAATTCAATGTAAAATATTTCACAAAACAATTTCATTGTTAGTATTCATTTAATCTAAGAAATATTATATTTAAGCAATTTACAACTGTATTTATCACATATTATTGTATAATTAGAATTGATATACATACGGTCTAGTCTGGTATGGGTTGAGGTCCAAGGGGCCAGTGACACCATGAGTTACTGCACTGAGTACACCAAGCCTAGTGACACCACTGACTAGAATGGGAAAAGCAATGTTTCTTTTAAATAAGTTTTGAATACTACACTGACTACATAAATAGAAAACTTGATAATGCACTGCAATGGGTAGGTATCCCAGGACCAGCCCTACCACTCTCCAATTTTTGCTGCTTAGATAAAGCAATTTTTATGTAGTTAATATTAGCACAATCTCGTTTCTGCTTGCCTGCTTCCTAGCAACCTGATGCATAGTATCTGCTTGCCAATCTGCTTTTGCTGAAAAATAAGAACAGAATCTCTAATGAATTTTCCAATAGCCCTGAAAAGGTAGGGATGCATTCAGCAAGCTCTGTGTTGATTTTGTGAGCCTGGCATGTGATTTGTGTTGTCAACCCTCTAACCTTACTGCACTTTCTACCACAGGCCAGGGAAGATGTGATCCACATGCTGAAGACGGAGAAAACCAAACCCGAGGTTCTGGAAGCTCATTACGGGTCTGCGGAGCCGGAGAAAGTGCTACGGGTCCTGCACAGAGATGCTGTCCTTGCCCAGGAGAAGTCCGTAGGAGAAGATGTCTATGAGAAACCAATTTCAGAGGTAACAAAATGACATCAAATAGTAACCCTAGAAGGGAACCTCAAGGTGATATTGTAATCTTTACATTCTTCCATTTTACATGCCTTAACATTTTATTTCAAAGGGCAAATTTTTACTAACATAAATCAAAGTTTAATTAAATAACGTATGGATTATAATGGGCAAGCTATCAATTGTAAGAATTTTAAAAGACTTTTCTTAACTATACTTAAAGCCCACAATGTATTTCTGCCTGTGATTGTGACATCTTAGTTGCATGTCCTTGCAGTCTTATTCTTTTTCTTCACCGAGATGATGTCTGTAAAAATTTGAAGTGATTGTTTATTTTAACATCAAGGTGTCAGGATTATTATTGAAATGGTAACCCAAAATTAAGTTGATTTTATTACTGATATTTATAGTCATAAAGAACATGGAAATTAAATGTATGAAGCAACTTATCAATTTACCTTTTAATTTATGTCAACCCTTTGCAGTAGTTTGAGAGATCTCATAGGCAAGATCTGCTTTAAATAGTATTCACAACAGATTTATGGTCCCATAATTTTCCAATTTCTGCAACAAGGATAAACTGGAGCTGTGCTGTCAGCTTTCCTTAAATTGTTAAGGGATGATAACAGGAGAGGAAACAACAGTAGTAAGGAAGCACTGGATTGATAGGCAACAGGCTGGATCCACTTTCATATCCAAGAGCCACCTTATTAGCTTCGAGTGGCTTTGGGCAGGTCACTTAGGATCTTTCAGCCTTAGTTTCTTTATCTATCAGATGAGAGTGTAACCACAGTTGCCTGCTTCATAGAGCTGTGAGAATTAAGCGAAACATGCCTGTAAAGCCCTTAACATAGATAGTGCCTGACAACAAATATTAGCCTTTATTATTTGCCAGAATTTGAAGGTGATAACTGCTCACATCCTTAATTGGTCCCAAATTTGGAGGAATTTGAGGAGTAAAAGACATAAGAAAGAAAACAAACAAAAAACCTCAGACTCAACTGGTATTGAGTTGATTCCAAGTCATAGTGACCTCCATTGGGTTTTCACCCACAGAGTAGCAGGCTGGAAGAGCAGGAGAAAGGGGTAAAACCCAGGAAGCCAAAGAGAGGAGCAATCAGCCGAAGGGATTAGGTGAGGAGGGGAAACTCAGGGATGCCCAA